CCCAAAAGCCCCCCTGACCCCCCCCCGCGCCCCCTGCCCAGGCTCTGGGGATGCTGCTGTGGCACAAACACGACGTGGAGAAGTCCTTGGCCGACCTGGCCAACTTCACCCCCTTCCCTGACGAGTGGACGGTGGAGGACAAGGTGCTGTTCGAGCAGGCCTTCAGCTTCCACGGCAAGAGCTTCGCCCGCATCCAGCAGATGGTGAGACCCCTCCCCAAAATCTGCCCCCCGAAACCCCCGGGGAGGGCAGCACGGAGCGGCCCCCCCGCCCCAGAGCGGTTGGATCGGTCCCGGTCCGACACTTTTTGGGTTTCCTTGGGCTTTTTTTGGGCTTTTTTGGGTTTTTTGAAGGTGTTGTCGCTCCTGTGGGACCCCCGGGGTGTCACCCGAGGAGTTTTGGGGGTCTGGGGGGGGGTCACAGGACCCTCTTGGGGATGAGGAGGTGCCCCCCCCTTAACCCCCCCCCCCATTGGAGATGGTACATCCCACCTCTGTTGTCCCCCCCCGCCCACCAGGTGGTGCCTCCCCACATTTCTGGGGGTTCCCCCTGGTTTTGGGGGTCCCGACCCCCCCATCTTTGGGGTTTCCATTGCCATTTCCTCCTTTCCTATTCCCAGGGGTTTCTGCTTCTCCATTTTTAGGGGTTTTCCCCTTTTTTTGTGGGTTTTCCCCTCCCCATCTCAGGGCTCTTCCTGCGCCTTCTCCGCCCCATTTTTAGGGGTGGCCCCTCCTTTTCCTCACCTCTCACCCCATCCTTGAGACCAAATCACCCCAAAACTCCCCCCAAACCCCCTCTGTGCCCCCCAGCTCCCGGACAAGCTCATTCCCAGCCTGGTTAAATATTATTATTCCTGGAAGAAAACCCGATCCCGCACCAGCGTCATGGACCGCCAGGCCCGGCGCCTGCTGGGCCGCCGGGACCGCGACGACAGGTACGGCACCCCAAATCCCACCCTGGACCCCCCAAAAACCCACCCTGGATCCCCCAAATCCCACCTGGACCCCCCAAAAACCCACCCTGGACCCCCAAATCCCACCCTGGACCCCAAAAAACCTCCCCAAATCCCACCCTGGACCCCCAAAAACCTCCCCAGATCCCACCCTGGACCCCCAAAAC